ATCTAGTTTATACCTACATCACTGGATGAATTTTTAACTTGTTTGCATTCATTGCTGGATATTTTCTGATTTAGTAAGTGGTTTGTAGCTGTGGGGAACTTGAATTGCTGCGAAGCAAAACATAATTGCAAGAGAAGGATAATCTAACCCCCTAACCCATTTGATCTCACATTTTAAATCCACAATCTCTTTATCAACACCCACATTTTGACCTCCAGGTTCTTCCTTTGCTATCCTTGTTAGAACCTAGAGGAAGGTTGAGCAGGGCACCAGGACTCCAGCCCCCACCACCTGCATCCTTAGCGGCAGAGGGCAGGACCGAGGGAGGTCTGGCACTCTCCAGTGCCCAAGATGGTGCAGGCAGAGCACACTGAGGTCCTGGCTGTCTTCCCCACAGCATAGCTCCCACCTGCCCCCAGCTCCCCTCCCCACCCTCCTGCTCCACCACCCAGCCAGCAGAGACCACCACCAGTTCCAGGGCCATACAAGCCTGCCATGTCACCACCAGTCTCACCAGTGAGGGCCATCACTGGGAGCGCCTGTCGGAGCCAGCACACACTGTTCCACACCTTCCAACCCCGTTTTTTGCTGAAAGACACAGGCCAGGCTGTGTCTTTGTGACCCTCTCCTCTGCAGAACCCTCCTCCTCACTCCATCCATCCTCAGTGAACTGGGAAGAAAATCCTCCTCCCCCCCCCCATGTTTCCCATCTCCTTTTTCCTCAATGCAAAATTTTTTCACCCAGGCCTTTCCTGGTTTACACCTCTCTCTGTTTCCATCTGTCTCCTCACTCCACTTCATGAAGCCTGAACAGCCAGTGCTCTTCTCTCCCCTTCCGGCACTCGGGACATCTTTTCAACAAGGCTCCGTGCCGGGTCGTGCCCTTGGGGCACAACAAACCCAGGCAACGCTACAGGCTTGGGGCAGAGTGGCTGTAGAGCTGCCTGGCGGAAAAGGACCTGGGAGTGTTGGCCAACAGCCGGCTGAATATGAGCCAGCAGCGTGCCCAGGTGGCCAAGAAGGCCAAGAGCATCCTGGCCTGTATCAGAAATGGCGTGTCCAGCAGGACCAGGGCAGTGATTGTCCCCCTGTACTTGGCTTTGGTGAGGCGGCACCTCGAGGGCTGGGTTTATGAGAAGGACATTGAGGTGCTGGGGCGTGTCCAGAGAAGGGCAACGAAGGGTGAAGGGTCTGGAGCACAAGTCTGATGGGAGCAGCTGAGGGAACTGGGGTTGTTGAGCCTGGAGAAGAGGAGGCTGAGGGGAGACCTGCTCACTCTCTGCAACTCCCTGACAGGAGGTTGTGGTGAGGTGGGTGTTGGTCTCTTCTCCCAAGCAACAATCGATAGGACAAGAGGAAACGGCGTCAAGTTGTGCCAGGGGAGTTTCAGATTGGAGATTAGGAAAAATGTCTTCACTCAAAGGGTTGTCAGGCCATGGAACAGGCTGCCCAGGGAAGCAGTGCAGTCACCATCCCTGGAGGGATTTAAAAGATGTGGAGATGTGGTGCTTGGGGACATGGCTTAGTGGTGGGCTTGGCAGTGCTGGGTTAACGATTGGACTTGGTGATCTTAAAGGTCTTTTCCAACCAAAATGATTCTGTAATTCTACCTTCCTGTGTGGGCAAACTGTGGGCAAGTCTGCAGGAGGAAAAACTGTCACCCAGCTGCCTCCTGTAGTGTCCTCTCCCTTTGGCTGGTGGCTTTGGTTCCTTCTGCTACCAGTGCACTTATACAAATCCTTCGGACCCTAGTTTCAGTGCCAGCTGAGCTTTGGCTTTGAGCCTGGAGTAACATCCATCCCTTCTGCCAGGGCAGCCAACCCCTGCTTCCCCTTTCTGTGAACTTCCTTTTCATTTCACATCTGAGCTGGCAGGGGCTCCTTTGGCCCCACCAGCCTTCTGCCTTACCTGCCTCAGTATTTAGAATATCAGAATTTGTCCAACTTGTTTAAGTTTACATGTTAGTCAAGGTAAAAGACTTCATTTTGATTGAAAAATCTTTATTCACATAACACATCACATGAATCACATCATGTCCCGCCCTTGCCCCTTTACATAGAATACTGGTAAAAAGGTTTTTTCCCCCCAGAAGCAAGTCAGTTTCCACAGCGTCCTCTGGTGAGAGAGCAGTTCATCCAACACCTGGAACGCTTGCTGTGCCACAGAAGTTCAGAAGCAGAACAGCTCTCTTGAAGGATATGTTGTCTTTAGTAAGAAAGGGAACTTTACAGAGAGCTGTAGCAGCAACACATGCAAAGCCACCAGGGTTTCAGCTCAGTCTTGTTTCACGTTAGCAGGGACCCTGACCCTACCTGTGCTCCTGCTGAGGCCTTGAGACTTTTACACTGACCGTGTGAGATAGCACAGATGCTCTGGTAAATGTTTTGGATTTAACGCGTAGTACAAATGTGTTTGAAGTTGTACGTAATCAAATCCAGTTACTCAAGTGGCTCCTTCAAGCCCCACATCTCACCTTTAGACACGGTGAACAGAAAGACACTTTGCTTATCAAAAAGGGAATTAGCCTACACAAGAACAAGACTCTAAGAGGGTAAAATAAATGAATTAGAGAAACATGTATTAAAATGCCAAGCTAGTCTCAAAAACAGAAAAAAAAAAATCCAGTTCCAAATATTTTATGGCTCCTACCATCAGCCAAAAAAGGAAACAAAATGGCTGGAGTCCCTCCGTGGTATAAGACAAATCCTGCTACACCGGATCACGATGACAGAAACTTTAAACGCCGCCAAATGACATCCTTTAAACACTAAACCATAGGGTTGTAAAATCAAGGTGGAATTGGACCAGTTTATTGGAACAGAAAAAGATTTACCAGGAATCTCTTACAAGGTGCCCAGCTGATCTCATAGAAGATGATCTCACAAGTGCATAGTATGCTAAATCTATCAGATTTCATATTTACAATAAATTTAAGGTAAATTTAGATTTAAGATTTAAAGATACAATAAGACAGATGATCTATCACTGCAGACCTCCTCTTTTCCTGTAATTCCCTACTGCCTCGGGCTCAAATGAAAAGCGATTCTGTACTTGGTCTGCTAATGTGTTTCCTTGGGAAAGCCTAGCAGACCGAGGAACGCAAAGAGCACAAAACCCTTCAGAAGCATCAAACACATGGAGAAGCACAACACGGACAGCCAGAAGGCGTGTGGCACAAAGGACATTCAACGAGCATTGAGGCTTTCCTGCGTTCTTCTGCCAAACCATCCAACGGGGTTATCTAGGCACTGACGGCATCTTGGCCTCCCCGCCGTGTCTGCAGCGCACTAGCACTCCGACTGCCGGCTCCTCTTGCCCTGGGTTCCATGCATGAAGCTGAGTGGCCACTGATCAAATTGAGTACGCTCATCGGGGCTTTAAAGCTATGCCACAGGCAGTCAATACTGGAGTTATGCAACTGTAAACCGTTTGTTTCACTTGCCATATTAACTGAAATTCATTTTTTACCATTATTAATACCATTTGTCCAAGTTTGCAACAGGCTACGTAATAAAAGCAAAGCTTATTGCAGCAAAGATAGAATGCAGAACTTGTAATCTGTTACTAGTTAAAAGGACCCACAACCATTCCAGACAGAAAAAAAAATAAGGAATTGCCAGCATTATGCCAGACCATCTGAATATGACACCTCTGTGCCACTGTCAGATGCCTGGAAATGCTCCAGACTTGTACACAAATCGGGATGGGAATGTATCTGAAGGCTGACTGAAATGGATGATGCCCCAAATCTCAGGATGGCCATTCCAACAGTCCCCACAGTCTACAGGGAAAGGAGTACTGTATTTAAACAATGACACGGTTCCTAACTGTGAAGGTTTAAATGGGGACAGATACCAGGGGAAGACACATCTAAGGCGGGGATCATCTCTGTGAGATGCTATGTATGAGAATGTATGAGAAAGTCTTTCACAAGAATTTTGCAGGTACAAAGGACAATGCAAAGAACACCCTTCCCAAGGATGAGGGATGTTTACCATCCCAAGGCACGTAACTTCAGGAAACTCCTCTGAAAACAGCTGGGTTTAAGTGAAAGGTCTGTTGCCCCGATCCCACTGTTATTGTGAATGCAAAGAAGAGCATTGTGCACCCGTTCCAGCTCTACGCACATAAAAATCACAAATCTGAATCTGAGCACAGCGAGCACTTGCCTGCTTCATCGATTCAAAAAACACCAGCTACAGAGCACAAAACCCCAACCAGCCACCTCAGAAAATGAATACAACTCACCAAAACATGATGTGCACTAGCATTAAACATGTCAGTGTCTTACAGTTTTTGGAGGCTGGATTTGGTACTGGGCACAGAGAGCTGACACAGGCAGGAGTTCAGCATTCAGCTTCCACTGGGAAGCAGCAGGGCATAAAAAGGTACCAAAACATACCTCAGATGAGAAGCATTTTAGCCTAAAACATGAAGATTTGTGCTGGTTAATACTGTATGCGTAAACAAAAACATTAGCTGAGGTTATAACCATGCTTTAAGACCTTTCCCCACAAATCCTTCTCCCTCCAAGCAAAACAGGGTTCACTTCCTGCCTCTTTTTGCACGCTTGCTCCGCAGGAGTGTGCCCACAAACGATGCAAAATTCTCCTCCGTGGCATTCCTTCTTTGCAAAACAGTGACCAGAGTCACTTCTAGCCAGCACAGGAAAGACTCACTACATCTTATGCTCTGCCCTTGCATCCTCTTACCCCTGTCTACCCAAAAGGACGCTCGTACCTTGCAATACAGCTGGGCAAAATTATCACTTCTGCTTCCTATTTAACCAGATTCTTAAGCTTGAAGACAATACGGTGAGAGCAGCAAAGGCTAGGGATATTTTTATAGGACCATTCTCAACCACAGCCTCCCCAGAGAAATCTGTTTCCCCACATGCTTTCCACATGACAAGTGTCTGAGTGTGATTTGTAAACTCTGAAGTTCACAGGAGGGGCTCATCCAAAGCAGCACTCAGAGGAAAGTACAGTTTGGAGGTCAGTCCGTCTTGCTCCAAAAAATGATCTCCTCTGGCAACAGTTCAGTAGCTCATGTCAGATACTGCACGACGAGAAACATAATTACACAAGTCAAAATCATTCCCCCAATCATGAAGTATTTATCTTGAAAGGCTCGCTTCTCAATCAGCCGCATTACTGTATTGGATAGGCCCAACATGTTGGCGACATCCAGGATCTTCCTGTGAGTACCCTAAGAATAAAAAGACAGCAAAGAAACAATTAACCACATGGTCCAACACTTCTTATTCCACAGTCCAAGAATATTTCATCATGGTGGCAAGGGATGAATTCTGATTGATGGAACTTGCTATCAGCCAACAGTTCCTACAATTTAAGAGGAGATGGCCACAAGACCCTGGAAATAGCTGGATTATGAGACTAATTAATTCACACAGATGAACAGGAATGTGGTTAAAGATACAAAACAACCTGTCTGAACAGAGACATCATAAAGAGTGGCCCAGAGAAAATGCACTCCCTAGGGAGGCATTAAGAGTTGTTCTGGTCCTTTTTCAGGGATACAGTCTAATAAGAGCTTGAAGCTTCTTGATCAGACAGCCTTTCTTGCAGAATGTTGTGGTTCAACCCAGCCAGCAGCTAAAACCACCACGCAGCCGTTGGCTCACTTCCCCCCGCAGTGGGATGGGGCACAGAATCAAAAAGAAAAAAAAAATATCAACAATATTAGGCACACACAGTTTCTCAATCCATAAAATATAGAGATTTACAATACCAAATTAGATAATGAGTTTCTTCTGTAGAAGGCTGTATAGGTATTCAGCCCTTTGCTGAAATCAGGTTATGTCTCAGCTAGTAAAACATAATCAAATTTTTCACCTTCATTTCATACACCTCACAGTAAACCCCTGGATACTACACTTTAAAGTTCAGTGCTTTTCCTGACTCTGGAGCAATCTTTTCACAGTACTTCAGAACAAAAGAAAACCTTTCTTGGAGAAGAGAAACCAAAAATTAAGCTTTAAAATGAAACCAAATAAAAGGAAAATGAAGACTCTTCAATTCTTGCAGTCCAAGGAACAGTGGAATTTTACAACTAGAACAGTTAAAGCCTTGCGACAATTTGGGAATATTTGGTTCATACCTGTCTCTATTTATATCCAATACCCAAGAAGTTAGAGATTAACACGCTTCCAAATTACCTCACGTAGCTTTAGAAGTTGTCTCTATGCTGCTTAAGCCAGATTTGTAAATGTGCCACAAAGTCTTTGATCGCATAAGAAAAGCAAGCTAAGGGGGAAATATGAACAGGTATTTCCTCAAGGAGTGGGAAGAAATATCCCCCTAAAACATAAAAACACGATGTTCCCAGAAGACCAGACTGTCAGTAGCAGCAGGCAGAGACACGCTAACACTTTACTATTACAGTGCTGACCTGAGGCGTCCTTGACTTGCCCCAAGTTGGAAGCTGAGACAAAGCATGCTCACATTTGCAGAAGGCACATCATGATCTAATAGGAATCCAGGCACAGATGGCAGAAGCAGCAAGGCAGCACTACTGACACAACAAAAATACTATTTCCTCTCAATCTCTTTGAGGCAGCAGGTCCTGCAAGCGTTCCTTCATCACATTTGCCAACCATGGTTAAGTCCTCCTGACTTGCGATGTCTCAGGAACCCTCCAGAGACCAAGTGCTTCAGTCACTCCTCAGAGAAGACCTTGAATCAGTGACTTACCACGTTCTAGAACCCACAACTCAATTCTCTGTGTGAAGCACAGGTACACTCGTGCACTTCAGTGACTGGGTGCTCCACACAACTGTGATCAGCCACCAAAGCCACCCAGTGCTAAACACAGAGGACAAACGTCCTCTGCCATTACACCCCGCAGCAGTCCTGTCCAGTGCTTTGGGAATACCAGCTAGCCTGGAAATCTGTGATGGGGATAGGAAGTACCTGGCTTGTGAATTGCAACAGACATTCGTTAATATTAACAGAAGCACCTAGCAACTCTGCCCCGTGAAGACCCCCAAGCTCTAGTAACTCCTGGGAAATGGGTGCCGCAGGTACTAGAAGTTGCTCCTGCAAAGGGCCTGTGGACTTTAAGGGTGAGACCCATACGTTGGCTATCGAGACCCACAGGGTGGCTATCTCTAAGTAAGCTGCCTAGACAACCTCTGTAGCCTGCAGTCCTGGGAGCGTAAGGTGTGGTTCATCGGACCACGTGCAGGGATTTATGGTAGCAACTAAAAATGCCTAAATCCTCTGGGAGATACATCCCAAAACAGTATCACAAAATAGACAATAATAGTTATCCTCATCAGAAGATGAATACAACAGAGCTAGGGATTTCCCCACATTTTTCAGAAATCCAACTTTCCCCCAACACACACTTCTTATTAAAAAGCTTTTTATATCTTTGATCTATTCACTCAAAATTTAACATCACTTTGAACAGTCTTTAAAATAAATAACAAATATTTGTTATTAAGAGACATGAAGAAATACAGCTGTCATTAACAGTACTCAGGGAAGGATATATTGTTGAGGTGCATTAGACCTGAAAGAGTATTATCTTTATTACTAATCTTAAACAGAAGTACTTGACGCCAGATTTGTGGTTGCTCTGCGTGATGTTCATCTGAATCAACATCTATCTGGGAGCTAGCCATTACTTCCCATTCTTCACTTGAACAAAGAAAACCCAAACAAACAAAAAACCCATAAAGGAACAAAACAAAACATAACATTTGGCACTCCAGACTGTGCAGCCAAAGACTACTAGGCCATCAAGCCACAAAAAGAGCTTTAAGATGTTCCTAAGATGATAAACCGTAAAGATTTCAGGTTCAGTTAAAATGGAGTTTGGGCCTTTCCCAGCATTCTCAGCTTGAAGCAGTGTACTGAAACCAACCCACGTATTTATTTTACTTAGCCTGGTAAACAAACACAGAAAAACGTGGGGTAAAAAATGATGCCCCCACCTTTAATGTCACTCTCTGGTCCCTCAGCCCCTGAAGGATGTTGGTCCCACTGCCAATAAGATCATCCATGCCACGATGGGCATTCTGGAGGGATTCATTAAACTGTAATGTTTCGTCGATCGGGATGGTGGTGTCAGAGTCCTGTAGGGGAAATGCAGGGTCTTGGTTACCTTGCCTGCTCACTCAAACTGCCCGTACATAGTTAGAGCCAGAAAAAGAACATGCAGAAACAAATGTGGCAAAAACTTGACAGGACTTGAAGGATTAAGTTTTAAACATTTTTTTCATAAGGATATCAAATACAACATTAATATTTGAGGGGAAAGAAGTAATTTAGAGAAGCCTACAGGAAGCAAGCCAAAAGGCAAAGTTGAACAGCTGTTCAACTGCAACTAGATCTCGAAGCATAAAAAGTCGGATTAAAAGTGGAGAATTTTTTATAATCTCAGTTTATGATATCGGAAGGAAAGGGTATCATAAGAGAGAACATCAATACTAACAGAAGGTGTTCAACAAGGAGGCATTTGATCATTGCCAGTGAAAGACTTTTGAAAGACTTAGTATCGCGTTTCTAGGCGGGAAAAGGCCTGCAAAACACAATGTCTGGGAGACGACATTCTGTAAACTCCTATTTACAACAAGCTGCACGTTTCTGATAGCGAGGGCAAACAGACATGAACCTAGCTCACTGAAGGTCTCACTCACACACCATCCACGCATCATCTAAATAAAAAAAATAACATTTTCCCAGAAAAGATGCATTAACTCAACTAGAAACTATGAATCTTGAAATGGAAATAACTGGATAAAATTCTGTAACCTGGTTTGTAAACGAGGTCGGAGGATGCAATCATTTTTCTCTTTCAAAGGCCTCCGGTTTAATCTTCTCTGGATACTATTTCACCGAGAGAGTCAAGATCATAGCTCATCACCTGCACGCTGTTTTAAGTACAGGAACCATGATGTTGGTGAGAGGTAAGTGTGGAAACACTGGCTTACCTGCTTTCATGTACTCAGAATGGCAAGAACTAACAAAATGCAGAATTCATATTTAGCGCAGAAGATAGTTAATACCCTACGTCTGACTGTCAGCTGTAGGTTACATGTAGGTAACAATACCACACTTGCTCTGAGTAGACTGGTGATTATTGTAAAAAAACGTTACTATGGGAATGACGTGCACAACGCAGCGTGAGGTGCTGTGGTGCCTAGGTGTTCTGCTTACTGTAAAAGAATGAAGAATAGAGGACAGAGCTTTAGCAGCTGCAGGGTCAAAGTTACCGGATGAAGAAGGCGCAACAGCATACACACCTCTGATCAAATGTTAATGAAGCACTAAGGTTGAAACAAGTGTCTTGTCCTACATGAGTCTGCAGAGCAGAAGCACTTGGATTTGCATCTGAATGGCTATTAGTTCAGATATTTATTAAACTTCAAATCAGCAGGGATTCTATTTCCTATAGAAGGAGTTTGCAGGGTTGGTTTTTGGTTTTTTTTAATACACCACAAGGCAGCAAGAAAAATACTGAAGTAGATTTTTGACCCTCCTCATAGGGAGATTAGATGGCATCATGCCTTTCATTTGCTGTTAGTGATTTTCTCCAGAATGGCAGAAGGGACGGCTTTAAAGACAGAGACTCATTTATTTTCAAATTAAGCAAAATGTTCAGAACACTGCTACAGCTTTCAAAAGCTGTTACTTGTGTTACAGTGATTTATTCAGGATGCTTACATGCTCAGCTGACATTTCTATTTAATAGAGTAGTATATAAATAGAAACTGTGTAAACAGGCCGATAACTGACAAATAAATCATCATTTTCCTATTAAGGGGATATTTTATTTTAAAAGTCACATTTTTGTAACAAGTTAAAAAAAATACAAAATAATGTGCTTTTTTTCATCTTGAGACAATTTTGAGCATCTAAAGGAGAAATAAATAACTCGTATTTGCAAGGCTGCTACTGCTCTTCAAAACTGTTCCACTTACACGTGTTTTATTTCTGGACAAGTTTTTCTACAGGAAATTTTCTCCACATTTTCAGAGAAACACTACAGTGTTTTGAAAACAAATCAGGTTTCAAATTGCAGTGTTCAAGTCTTGTTTATAATTTTGAAATAGCCAACAAAATGCTGGATGGCATCTTTATGTCAGGCTTTGAGAAGTGCATTGAACTTCCCAAATCTCAAGAAAATAGGACCACTTACATTCACTTTTCCTTGCCCTAACAGTGAATGGTAACATAGAAAGTAGGTTATATGCCTTCAACAACAGAAAAAACCCAAACCAAACAACAAAAAAACCAAACAAAAACTAGCAAAAGACTAGCTTTTGAGTTAGAGAAAAGTGAAATCTGAAAGCAAACGTACATTATTCAGAGCAAAATTCCTCTAGGAATTTGCAGTGGGGGAACTAAAAATTAACAAGAACAGGTGGAAACACATTCCTGCCATTAAAAACTTTTGAATCATTTGTAGGTAAAAAGGAAGTGTTTTTCCCCACCTGTGTGATTTATATTTGGATAAATGAAAGCTTGCTGACATCTACTGACAGTAGGGTGTATAAAAGCCAGACATTTTACAAACCTCAGGATCTGTCAGCCTATTTTGGTACCTACCTCATTCATCCTTTTGAAACTGCTATATAAATTCAGGCAGAACTGCACTGGATAAAATAGGAGCAGCAGTTTCTGGAGTCTTTTACTACTGCCTCTTAATAGATGAACTATTTCTCATGAGACAGTTGTACTTCTTCAACGCTTATTGTTATGCTTTTCTATCTTTATTCCGTTTACATGTCACAGCAGCAATCTGAGTCACGCCCACATCCTGCCTGAAATGGCTCTGAAAAACTACAGCATCTAGAACACACAGATGTAAACCAAAGAATATTTACATTAGTAGTGAATGTACGTGCAAGCAGCTCTTCTCGCTGTCGCTCCTGTTGCTCCCGGATGTAACGGCGATGTTGAAAGTTCCTCAGAGCTGTCTGCAGATGCTGAACATCATACTTCAGCTGGTCAACTCGGCTAGAAAGGATCAACAACAGGAAGACATTCCCAGTGATAAAAATAACATTATTTTCTGGTGGTTTTTATATGAACAATCGAGCGTTATAAATTAACAGTGATAAATAATAAAGAATGGTATCTAGAAGATAGAGGACATTCAATGTTAAGCTTATATTCCAGACTCAGATCTTCTGTGCCTCATTTTTCTACTAAACAGGTGATTATTTAACTGGAGGCTAATGACAGAATGTGAAGCAGAATTCTTGAGCTGTCTTGGATATCCTATCCCATGACTAGTCTCTTCAGGAGTTATATACATATATATTCATTCCTCATTTAACACAGATTTGGAAAGATGGTAGGATTTGAACAGTTTCTATTTTAAGGCACATAAAAGATTAAGCTTTCAAGTTTCATTAATTAGCACCATCTTCTTAAGTTTGAGTTTTTATTAAAAGGAGTTTAAAAGTCAGTGGGCAATACAGAAGACATCTCCATTGGGCTAAAACAAATAATGTCCAGGACTCCACTGTCTCTGATGAAATGTTTGATGACTACAAAGCCTAGATGACTATTTCAGATACTGACCTCTATAATATAGGTGACGTGAAATTCACCCCTCGTATCTACAAAGGCATTTTGGGACTAAACATTAGTAGTAGAGTCACAGAATAAATTAGAACAGAAAGTCTTGAGGTCTCTAGTCCAACCTCCTACTCAAACCAGCGCTAACTTTAGAAACCTCCTTATTTCAGTCACCAACAGCTAGGAAAATGGTCCAGAGAAAGGGACACCAGCTGAAGTAATTTTAGTCCTTACCTCCACAAATGCCATTAAAAGCAAATGCCATATAGACTTTTTTTAAGCATCAATGTGCCATGTTCTGCTCAGAACAGAACCAAAATCCAGTTCCATCATCAGTCTGTGGTTAAATGCAGGAAAATGATTTTGCCTCTGTGCCTCAATTTTGCTACTGCAGAGCACAGACAAAAGTTATACAAACTGTGAAGGTTTCACTCAAATCAAAGGGCTTCAATAAATTTAATGAAAATAACTATAAAGACTACACTACACCATCACAGCAAAGAAGGTGAACTTACAGTTTAGCATTTTGTCGTTTATTGGGAGGTTCTTTGCTGGACAGGATTTCCAGACGCTCCAAGTTGCTGAATATATTGTCTATTCTTGCCTGAATCTCATTTTCTACTACTGCAAGGAAATAAAAATGCAATTTGATTTGAATTGAAGAACTGCAATCTGAGTGAAGGTAAAAGTTCAAAAGCATTCAAACCAACATTTAAAAACTGACAGATGTAAATCCTTACTGGATGAAAAAAAAATTAGATAACTGAGAACTATACATATCATGAAAAGCAACTTCTTTAACTCAGTAATTTGAGACTGTGGCCTTTCCCTCCTCCTCTGAGAAGGGAGCTAGGAAAGCTCCTGCTCTTTCAAAGTATCTGAGCCCCTTTCCCTATCAGCTCCATGTATTTGGATTTAAAGCTCCCACATTCCCCACTGCGGCCCCTCCTGTTCCCTCAGCAGGATTTGCTCGCACAAGCTAATAGCCAAGATGATTCTCACAACACTGGCAATGTAAACCTCTGAACACTGTTAACACCGAGTTAATATTCATCATCCATACCTATAGCAGGGGAGATTGACAGAGCATGGGAAGGATTCAGAGTTGACAGGAGTTAGCAATCTGGACAAAGGGCTCAGAATGACGTGGCCAAAACAGACCTGAGAAGCCCTCACACATGGGAAAACAAGGCCACAAAATAATTGCCTCTGTAATCAACATGGCAATTGCTTCTGATCATCTGCATAGAATGCAACTGGAGGAACAGAGTCGTATGGTTTCAGTTCCTGTAGTCATTGTACAGCACAACTTGGTACAAGCCACAACCCCCTGCCCCATTTAACAACCACATTTTCTAACCACGTCACAATCAGCATTTCGCAACTTCAAGAACTGCAAAGAAGGGTGAAAGACAGGCGCACTATTAATCATCTGACATTCCTGTGTTTAAAGAAGGTGAGCTGTAAGGCTGACAGTACCCTCCAGAGCATGTCCAGACTGATGATTAAGAGGACAGAAGCACCATCAAGTCTGTGCAGCCATGAGGTTGCACAGAACCTGAGGTTGTCCTGAAGTCTCAGACTGCCATGGTCAGACCTGGTACAAATAGTCACCAAATCCTGCAGGCACTGTTTGTTCTTATTTTGCAATTAGACTAAAGAGGTATAGAGAAAAGCAGTATTGGCCAACTTGCTAACTACTCCACAGTATCTCAGGACTTTCCAGAAAATCTCAGGACTTTCTGCAGAAACCAGAACAGCAAACAGCATGTACAACCCTTTTTCTTTGCCATTTGATCTCACACAAAGAGTAACCAGCTCACATACATAGACACAAATCAACCACATTGTCCCAATTCATCTCTCCACCATTTAGTACAGCTAAACTTAACAGAATAGCAACCAGGAGAGCAGAGAAACAATTACATCAGCTTTTGCCGCTCCAAACAACAGTCATCTTACGCTTTTCTGAGCAAGAAGGTATTATCTGCCCAAAGTTGGAAAAGGAAAGCTGCAACAGAAAGGTTGATTTCTTGGCTCTTATTCCTGCTCTTCTGCCAAAAGATAATCCTTTTCCCCATAAATACTGAAATATGCACTAATACCTAGCACACATATCTAGATCTTTATATATACATAAAAACAGTATGTTCATTTATTGACTATGTAAGGCGGTGCATAATCCTCTCTTGAAACAGCCTCACACAGCAGAGGCAAGATGGCAAATCATGCTAATTTTCAAGGAGCTTCAAAATCACATCCAATGCCAGGAAGTCTGGCATTGTACTAGGAGTAGTACAACCACCACAAAAACCAGAATCAGTAGACAAGTTATTATTTTTTGACAGGAAAAGTAATCACACTTAGCAATTACTCATACAGGAGTTAAAGCTTCAAACACAGGGCCAAAATACATTTGCCAATTCTGCGCTGGGGTACAAAGTCCTGCCACAATATGTCATAGTATTTTATTACAGTCATTTTATTAGCACAGGGTTATAGTCCAAATCAATCTGAAGCAATTTCACACCTAGTTGTTCTACGTATTTCTCATAAGCAGATGGAATTACAGGTTCAGACGCTGATGCAAACAGGAACTATCAGAATCATCCTGCTTAAAGTCCTGCACAGCAAATCATGGCACTTTTTCCCCAGAAACTGGACTAAGCATCTTTTGGAGAATACTGCCAATTAGTGGATGCTTAATGAACAGCAAAATAACAGGACAGGTATACAGCTTTTGAGCTTCTAACAAGTCCTGAATTTGCAGTTCTGTACACATCAATGTGTTCACTGGCTGTCCCTGCCCATGGCAGGGGGGTTGGAACTAGATGATCTTTAAGGTCCCTTCCAACCCAAACCATTCTATGATTCATTATACCTCCACGAATGCATCAATGTGGGATTTTTTAAACTGTTTATGTTGGAGGTCTCCACAGCATACCCTGACAATGAGTTCCAAAATATAATAGCACCAAAAAATAACTGGCATTCCCATACCACGACATTGTAGAAGCATCCACAGTAAGCAGTACTTGTCAATTAAAGAATGACAACAGGAAGATGATTTGAAGTGAATTCTTGTTCTGTCTTTTCTACTCTGTCCTTCACACAAAACATCACCATATTCAAGTCAAATAATAAAATAATTTTAATGCATTCCAAACTGGTGATGTGTCTACCAGCTGATCACAATGAATGAAGAGACAAGTTCATCCCAATGATTGCAGATACAATGATAAAGCATACAAGGTTAAAGATGCAAGCTAAATCAAATCAGTGCTGGAGTGGGACTTTTCTCTCTAATTAACTACTTACAGTGTACTGATTCTTTGTCTGAGGTCTCCAGGCGCCCCATGTAAGATTGGACCTCATGGACTTGCCTATCAAAAGACAAAATTTAAAGTAACAGAAGTCAGTTAACATTTTTAAAATCAAATCCTTTTTCAATACCTCAATTTTCAGCTTCTTTTACTTAAAAGTACTTTTTAGAACAGACTAGAAATCAGATACGTGGTATTCAGTGCAGACAGCCCATCACTGAACACAAAACAAAAAACAATTCAATTCTTCAGTATGAAGCTGTGCTTTCACTTAACTTGTATTCTACAAAATAACTTTCAGATTAAAAACAAAAATCAAGGTGAAAGGGTTTGGGGTTTTTTCCCCCCTTCAAAGATTTCCAATCCAGTTCTAGCTCACTTTTCATATTTGTAACCTGAACTGGAGCTCTCCCCCAGGTCACACACCTGGCACACTGAAAACCATTAAGATCTACCTAGTCCAAAACAACTGTGGAGACAAGACTTCAGATTCACACTAGCAACTCACGAGCAGTAAGCACAGCAGAGGGAAGATAGGACTTGGAGAAGAGATGGTACAAGTGAGACCTTGATAATACATCTGCAGTGAAATACTACCTACGTACACCACTGAAGTCAGGAATGCTGATGAGACATCACACCTTTATGTCACTGCATAAATGGGTAGTACACATCTTCCACGCTAAACAGAGGTTTTGTCCCTCCCTTCACAAAAAGAAAACAGAAGCACTGGCAAAGGTTCAGAGAAGGACAATAAAGATTATGAAAAGTACAGAGCAGCTTTTATACAAGAAACAGTTGTTCAGTCTGGACTGGAGATATCCTAGAGCATGAATGGCACGAGAAAAGGCGAATAAGGAATGACTTTCACTGTCTCTTACAACACATGAATTACAGAAGCATCAAATGAAATTAAAAGATAGCTTAAACCTGAAGAGAAGGTATTGATGCTGGACAAGCAGTGGCAAACAACAACAAAAAAATAACCAAACACTGATGGGTTTGTTAAATTCCTCTGTTGCAAGAAGCCCCCAAGCCTCAAATTTCTGGGAGGCTGGGACAATATTCATTGAAAGTATTGCATGTGTTTGCCCATTTCTTACTGTCTGTTCTAGAGATCTGCAGTTAGACAATGCTGAACGTATACTGGGACAGATGAACCTTTGGCCGTACTTGGTGTGAACACTCTCACAGCAGCTGGGATTCAGACTTGAAGAAATGCACTTTAAAAGTTACAAAAGTATCATGACTTTTCAAAAAATATTTGAGAGATCATAATTTTGGCCACATTAGTGACTCTTTTTCTGGTATATGTACCCTTTGATAACTACAGCACAAATGTTCATCGAACCAGACCTCTGAAACCAACTTACCTTACAGAGTAATAAAGTATTTATTCTTCAGTTATAAGATTTTTAAATAACTATCAGATTTTTAAACAATCATGACACTGCACTGCTAAAGAGATCACTGAGTATGTCATAGGTACCATATTACTTGAATTAACTACAGAACCAATTCAATACCCAGTATCTCACAACCTATACCTCTATATTTTTGGTTTCAGTATCTCCAGGATGCCTCAGACAGCTTGAGACTCGCATTGCTCTTAAAATGCTCTTAAAATGCCTGTTACGAAACTCAAGTGTAGGAGACAAATCAGAGCTGGATCAGAAAAGCTACTTCACACTCACCAGGACTGCTCCCATGCCAGAAAATACAGTAAGTCTGGGGAAAAGGTGGGAAGAGAGTTTAAAAATTCAGAGTATCCCCAGACTGACAACAAACTACAACAAAAACCAGCTCAGTAACTACAGTGCCCAGAGAAGCTGTGGCTGCCCCTGGCTCCCTGGCAGTGGTCAAGGCCAGGTTGGATGGGGCTTTGGGCAACCTGGGCTAGTGGAGGGTGTCCCTGCCCATGGCAGGGGGTGGGACTGGATGGGCTGGGAGGTCCCTTCCCACCCAAACCAGTCTGGGATAACAGAATAAGGCAATATGGAAACAAGAACAAGACAAAATTATACCCCTTATCAAGAACACTTACTATTATGGGTATGCATTTTCAGATCAACAGCAGGATTTCCTGCTCTTCTCTACAGGATCACTATATCATTATTTACTGAAATTCTCTTACTTACCACACTACCTCCTTGAACAGAGCTCAACAAAGAAACCCATTACCACAAGAAGTTGGGAGTACCTGGATTAACTGTCTCCTTTGGCCTCTTACCCACGAGTTATACCATATCATACAAAGCTGCAACATTTTTTTGCCTTATTTTCCAATTTTCATACCACTTCTCCCTCACCAGATAGGCATTATCTGTGAAACAGAGCGGGTTCTATCGCCAAGGAGTCACACCTTTCCTGAAGTGGTTTAAATTGTGTCTGCTAGCCATTGCAAAACCCCTGCTTTTTTGCAACCCCCCCCCTGCCATAAAAATCCTACTGAACTAGTATGCCTTAAATGTAGGTATATTTAATAAACTAGAAGCAACGTTTTCACCGCATACTTGCTATCCCGCACTTTACGATCCCGACACGAGCAGGCTTTGCTTGCTTTCGGCCTGTCATGGCTAACAGCAGGCTGGGACTGCGGACAGACACACGGACAGGCTTTTGCTTCCTTCCGTGGTTGAAACACAGGGTGGAAGACGAGAATTTTTATGAGAAAAGCTTTTAAAGGGCGCTGAGAACACGCTGGGCCGCAGGCAGTCTGCCCGCCCGCGAACTCATCCCTCGCACCCCCTCAGACCGCTGCGGCCGGGCCCGACCCCGGACTTCCCGTGGGGACCAGGCCGTTACAGCCTCCCGTCACCTCACGCACTTGTTGGTCTGGTGGTAGAGCCCCTCCATGACGGCAGCGCAA